AAAATGGCGTTACTTAGGGATATAGTAAAGTTCTAATCTTTTGATTGGCTTCTGCCCTTGGCACTGTTTGAGCAAAGAGAAAAGACCCTCACAGAGAACTGTAAGGACAAAAAAAACTTACTTTTAATTGTGACCCCAAGAATTATCAATATCTCTATTAACAGAGACAAGGGCTTCATCTTCTCTTAAGCAACTCCTCTTCACTGTAACACAGGCAGAAACTAGGTGGTTGGCCCAAGAGCTCCTCTTCTCAGGGCTGTGGTGGGGGCAGGAGTCAGTTGCTAAGCAACCATTTCCTTACTCTTGGGCCAATGGGCTGCCAGGGAGTTCCTTTCAAGCCGGAATGAAGGCAGCTGCTGGAGAATGTAGGCTGTGGAAAGGATCCACTGCTTTCCTCTGGCTGAAGATAAGGGGTAGGCTAGAAATTAGGGGTGGCTCTCTAACATGAAAGGAAGGGACCATAAGTCCAACTCGTACATGTCCACACGTTCCACTGTGTTCAGGGGTGCTGAAAGTTCTTATTTTTATGTTGCCTCTAGAGGTATAAACTACACTTACGTAAAAACACAATTAAGGTACACGAACTGATCTGACATCATCCTGTAAGCTGGTATCTCTAGGCTGTAGTGGAAAAGAAACAATGGGCCAAGTCTGCTTTGTTCCCAATCTGGATGAAAATCTTTATCCTCTTTTCCAGTTAGAAACTGCTGAGGATTTACTGAAACAAAGGCAAACAAAGACTGTTTAACAATGTCTTTACATACCTCAAATAATACAGACATTTCACAAGTGATACCTTCAAAGCTATGAGAAATCAAAATGAATATTTAGGGAAAACATATAAATATTAAAAATATCTAAGGCATAGAGCTAGTTGAGAAATTATGCCTACAAAAATATCCAACTTTTACAGTCTGTCCAGGTCATTACTTCAGAAATACACATTTTATTGTTTTGAATTTATAGTTTTACTCCTTTTATTAGTTTCCCATTGCTGTGATAACAAATTACCACAAACTTAATGGGTTAAAACAACAATACTTTATTCTCTCTTAGTTCTAGGGACCAGAATTCCAAAGCGATTCTTACAGGGCTAAAATCAAAGACAAGGCTAGCTCCTTCTGGAGGTCCCAGGGAAGAATCCATCCTTGGCCTGGAATTTTTCAGCTTCTAATTGGCTGCCAGCATTCCTTGATTTGTGGCCACATCATTTCAGTCTCTGCTCAGTCATCACTTGCCTTCTGTAGTTTAATCTCCCTTTGTGCCCCTCTTATAAAGATACTTGTGATTACATTTAGGGCCCACAAACATGATCCAGGACAATCTCTCAAGATCCTTAATGTTGGCTGGGCGTGGTAGCTCACACTTCTAATCCCATCACTTTGGACCCTAAGGCAGGTGGATTACTTGAGGCCAGGAGTTCGAGACCAGGTTGGCCAACATGGCGAAACCCTGTGTCAACTAAAAATACAAAAATTAGCTGGGCTTGGTGGTGCGTGCCTGTAGTCTCAGGTACTTAGGAGGCTGAGCCATGAGAAGTGCTTGAATCTCGGGGCCGGGAGCCTGGGGGGTGGAGGTTGTAGTGAGCAGACATTGCGCCACTGCAATGCAGCCTGAGAGACAGAGTGGGACTCCATCTCAAAACAACAACAACAAACCCAAACTGCTTTATAGGAAAATCAATGAGCAATGAAGGCATATAAGGGGAAACAGGGCAAAGGTCAGGTGGGGTCAGAGTCAGGGAAGGCTTTGCTAGGGAGTGATGTTTAAGCTGAAATATGAAGAATGAGTGTGAGTCAGCTAAACAAATCATGTCCCAGGTGTTGCAATGAACATGTTAAAAGGCTTTATGGGCTGGGTGCCGTGGCTCATGCCTGTAATCCCAGCATTTTGGGAGGCCAAGGCGGGTGGATCATCTGAGGTCAGGAGTTCAAGACCAGCCTGGCCAACATGGTGAAATCCTGTCTCTACTAAAAATACAAAAATTAGCCAGGCGTGGTGGTAGATGCCTGTAATCTCAGCTACTCAGGAGGCTGAGGCAGGAGAATTGCTTGAACCTGGGAGGCAGAGGTTACAGTGAGCCGAGATTGCGCCATTGCACTTCAGCCTGGGCAACAAGGGTGAAACTCCGTCTCAAAAAAAAAAAAAAAAAAAATGGCTATATGGTGTTCCAGAACATGAAATGATGCTCTGTGGGCTGGAATCAGAGACTGGGGCATGGGGGTGGCAGTGGAGTATAGTATAAAATAAGACTGGATTAGTAGGTGATAGTCACTCCATTCTTAATAATTTAGTTGTTGTGAAAAGACTGTATTAGTCAGCTTAGGCAACTGCAACAAAATAATATAGACTGGGTGACTTTACACAGCAGAAATCAATTTTCTCATCGTTCTGATGGCTAGAAATCTGAGACCAGGTTCTGGTGAGGGCCTTCTTCTTGCTTGCAGATGGCTACCTTCTTACTGTGTCCTCACATAGCAGGGAAAGGGGGTGGCAGGAGAGGGCAAAAGAGATCTCCCTTTTCTTATAAGGGCTCAGTCCTATTAACCTCACTCACCCTTATGACCTCTTTTAACCTTAATTACTTCCTAAAGACCTAATCTCCACATTTAGTCAAATTGGAGATTATGTCTTCAACATATGAATTTTGGGTGCACATAAGTCAGCACATAGTAAAGACCACCAGAAAGTCATTGAATGACTTACAGAAGTGAGAAGACGTGATCACTTCTGACAAGGTATCACTAGATGCAGTCTAGACTGGACAGACGAGGTGCAACAGTGGGCATGAAGGCCACTTAGGAAGTCTTTGCAATAGTCCAGTTAAATTCAGACTAAGTTTACTGCAATGCTATTGGAAAGTAGTGATTCCAGACTTATACAGACTGCTCAATAAAATTGCGTAGGTATAGCAACTGATTCGATATGAGAATGAAGTTATAAGAGGTACAAGGGATGGTGCTTAGGTTTCCAGATTTTTCAACTAAACTAGTAATGGAGCCATTCAAAGAGATGGGGAAAACTGGGAGAAGGAGCATGAGTTCAGTTTGGTACATGGCACATTTCAGGTACTTTAGGGATGTTAAATATTTAACAGTTTTGAATGATAATGGCATTTTGTCAGAGTGATTAATACTAAATGCTGGAACAAATGCCCTCTACATATTTTTAATGTGCTTTCATACAATAAAAGTTCCAATTCTTTGAGCTGACATGAGAGAAGAGATAATCAATAGTATAATGTTCTTAAGAAAGCACATGTGGAAGGATTGGCTAGAGGCTGGAGTGCCAACAGCTTCTCTGTTGAAGGGAAGGTGTCTAGTGTGATGTACTTTTCTTACCTTTCGCATTTCTAAATAAGAAGTCAATATCTTTCCCACGAAATCTGCAACTGCTCCCGTATTGCTTAATACCAACATTGCTATTTGCCACCTTACCCTCCTATGAAATGCTTTTCTTTTCTTCCTCACATTTCTTTCAAAATCTATTTCATTATCAGGTTTTACTTATTCTTCCTTGGTAATGTCTCTAATCAAAGACCTCTTTCTATTTCTAGTGCTAAAAAGTAAGTATATATTTTTATTACTAGCTCAAATGCCACTTCCTTCTTGAAGCCTTTATTTCTCCCAAATCTACTTTTTACATATTTCACAGCATTAAAAGAAAAACAGGCTGGGCACGGTGACTCACACCTGTAATCCCAGCACTTTAGGATCACTTGAGGTCAGGAGTTTGAGACCCGCCTGGCCAAGATGGTGAAACCCCGTGTTTACTAAAAACTACAAAATTAGCCAGGTGTGGTGGCGCATGCCTGTAATCTCAGCTACTCCGGAGGCTGAGGTAGGAGAACTGCTTGAACCTGGCAGAAAGAGGTTGCAGTGAGGTGAGATGGAGCCATTGCCCTCCAGCCTGGGTGACAAGAGTGAAACTCTGTCTCAAAAAAAAAAAAAAAAAAAAAAAGACAAAACAAAAATTACCTTACCATTTTGTGAATCATCCTTATGAGAGTGTCCTACTACTAAAAATATTCCATTCTTTACAATTCTTATCGAGGCCTCCCCCTTTTCTTCCTTTTCTCTTCTATTATTTTTTTAAAAATGTGTTCCAAATAATTATTTGCCAAATATATATATAACATAGTACCCAAATTGCCAAATAAATGTGGATTTACCACATCCACTCAGTTAGCCTTGAAGATGATCTGATATATAGAAACACAATAAATTTGGGGGGAGGGTACCAAATTTCTAAATTATAGGTCACTCTACTCATGTGAAACCGGATTTTCAGAACTCGCCAGGTTAGTATTATTCAGAATTAAGCCAGCTTTTTGGATCTGTGTCTTAACGTTAAGCAATTGGTAGAATCAAGTAAGACCACTTGGCTCTGGTTAACAGGCATCTGGATTTGTTTTGATGTAAGACGTGTTTCCAATATGACACTTTGGTTGTCCGCAACTTCTTGGTTCTTAAAACTGTCTTGAGTATCCCAGTCTACATTTGTTCTTTCTAAACCACCAAATTCCAATGAAATTTGTAATTTCCATTACAAGTTTGAGGAACCAACTGCATACGATGTGGAACCATTTCCCAATACTTTCATTTCTTTTGGTCTTTTTCAGTTGCCCACCCAGAGGAAAGCATCAGATTAATTGGTAAAAATTCTCCCCAATACGGCAGTTGGAGTGAGTACGGACAATTCATGTTGACCCTCGGTCTCCTCCCACTTGTACATCCTCCAAGTCCCTGAGGCGGCTTTCGCCCGCCAGCTCGCCCGTCACTTGGCGCACCTGGCCCTACAGGCCACGCCCCCAAGTCTTCCAAAAGGCCAGCGGTAAGCGCGGTCCAACTCCCGCTCCTCCTAGGAATCGGCTCCAAGCCCCGCCCCCGTTTCGAGGCCAGCGGCAGACCCCTCGCTCCCTGGCTCCGCCCCCTCGCTCCCTGGCTCCGCCTCCTCCAGCTCCCTAACGTCCTCGGCGTCGAGCCCGAGCCTGCGCCTGCGCGTGCGCCTTGGGGCCCAAGTTGGGGCGCGCCGTGGCTAGAACGCGGAGAGCGGCGGGCAGTGCAGCCAATGGGAGGCGGCGCTGCCTAGCGGCTGGTAGGCGGTGCCTGCGCGGGTGTTAGGTTAGCGCGAGGCGTGACCTAGTTGACAGGCTCTGAGGTGCTGCTGTGGCGGCGTCCGCGGGGCTGAGGCGGGTGGGAGCCGGAGCCGAGCGCGGGCTGAGGGAGGAGGGCGGCGACTGGAGAGCAGCGAGCGGCGAGCAGCGCAGGACGCGGAGCCTCTTTCACTTTTTCCCTGCTGAGTGCCCCCTACCACCCCTCCCACTCCACACACACCCTGTTTGCCCGTGAGCCTGGGGAACTTGCAGCTTAAAGCCAGCCACCCCCACGGCAACATGTACCCCAGCAACAAGAAGAAAAAGGTGTGGAGAGAGGAGAAAGGTAACCGGCCCGTCGAGTCCTGGGGGTGCGGGCGGTGGGGGTTGGGGTGGGGGCGGGGGTCAGGCTGTGTATGCCGCGGCGCCCTCCGCCCGAGCTCCCGCCTCGCGCCCTCCCGGCCGGTGCCGCCTCCCTCCCGTGTCCGTGTGTACACACGCGCACACGCGCGCGCACTTCGGCGTGCACGCGCCACCCCTGGGCACCTGCAGCTCGCGCACGTGTGGGCGCACGCCCCTCTCTGTCGCCCTCGGCACCCGGTCACCCTCTCCCGAGGCGGTGCTGCCTTCGCCTCGCTCGCGACGGGGACCACCAGGCGGTAGCCCTGGGCGCGGCACAAGTTCCTCTGCACCGCAGCTGGGACTTAGGCACTGCCGGCCTGGGTGTCCCGCGGACACGTGCCCGCCGGCGGGTGCTCAGGCTGCAGCTGCCGCTGTGCCTCCGCGCTTCCTGCACCCTCATTTCTTTCCTTCTCGTTCTTGTCCCCCAACCCCCAAATGTTCAAGTGTTCCAACCATCGGGTGTTTACCCCTTGTCTAGGTTTCCTTGCTTCGCTGCCGCAGCGTGACTTTTGAAACCTGGAACTCTAGGGGAGCCCTAAAACGAGCGTGTTGTCCGTGAGGATAAGTGCCTTAAGAGAAGTCTGAATGGGCTTTTCTCTTAACAGTGTTTCTCTGTATTCCATCACTATTCATGGCCTGAAGTTGCTCAGAGTAAGATTTTGTGACTAATGTCACTCTGAATGAACCCATCTCTGAATTTTGTGCATATAAGGTTTATCCAAATCAGCTAGATTGACAGTGGCACTGATTCTTGAAGAAACACAAGTGTACGATCCAGCCTCTCCCACCAAGATCTCCCCCTTACCCCATCACAGTTAGATAATTCTAAGTTGAGTGTCTCTGGCGTTTTTTCACCCTCCTTTTCACACCTCTTTCCTTTTCATTCTTTAGCTATTTACAGAAATGTAGCAAAAACTTCTTGCACTCCAATTGCTAAAATACACTAAAACCTGTATAGCAAGGGTGAGGTCTATTGAGGGTAGTGCACATTTCACCTGGATACCTCATGTTTACAAAAGGGTATAGGGGTGACTGGGTAGAAAGTTGATTTCTTTGTTAGTAGTTCGTTGAAACCTGTAGATTTTTATTGCAAGTCCTGGCCTTTATGAACATGAAGGCCAAACAGTGGAGGTAAGAAAAGGAATTAGTATGGAAAAAGAATCCTCTATATAGGATCTGCTTCCACAATGCACGAGCAAAGGCATGAGGAGGGAATTTGTTTTCAAATTTGCTGCAGGAAGATTAAACATAATATAACTGAACAACACAATTAAAATGATCTTCAAAAGTGTTGAAAGTTTAATCATTTAATTATGTTTTAATAATTATGGGTATATAGAGAGCTAACACTTGTGTTATAAATCTAATGCTGTCGAGAATAACAGCCTGATAGATAAAGTAGTGTAAAATAATTTTGCTTTGTTTTTTCAGTAGTAGTTACTGTAGTTTCAACAGGCTTTCAACAAGGATTTACCTTGTGAGCACTGAAAACTCATTTATGCCCATAGTTATTGATGATGCTGAAATGTTAGCTTTGTATTATTGATGATAATGAGGGCAAAACAGTGGAAGACACAGACATTGTTTTCAGTAACATGAATCATTGATGAAATTATAGTGAGTACTTAAGAACTATTTTTCTGTCATAATAGAAAAACAATGTTCCTCAAGTAATAACGTTATAATGTTTCCTTCATTTAACATCTACACCGTTGGACTGTGACCAGCAGGCATTTTAGAATCTTTTTTAATGTCTTGATTTCTTTTTTTCTCTTCTAATAATGGAGAAGATACAACCAATTTTTTTTCCTAAGGAAGCAAGGGCACCGTTAAATAAGGCAATTAACAAAGTAATTATCCAAAACTAAGTTATTTTTCCATGAAGTTTAATGTTAAAGGAAAACGTTACTGTGATACGAAGACTTTAATGCATCTCTCAGTGTTTTTTTTCAGGATGTCTATGTTTGGATTATTTAAAATATGTATTATACCCCCAAGGAAGAGCTGAGGATTTCTAGTACCATAGTTAGTATTAGAGAAGCTGATGGGATGCATGACCTTTTTCGTTTCAGCCCACTGGGAAGCTGATGGTATAGTATTTTTGCAGCTGTCCTTTAAAGCTAAAGGAAGGCTTACCTAACTCATTGAAATGTCAAGGCATTCTATAAACATTTTTAATTCAGTATACCATTTAATAAATAGGTCGCCTACTTAAATGCTTGGTTCACAGAGAAAGGACTCATTGTAAAGGTGAAGCATTCTTTAAAGAAAAGTTTTATGAAATGACAAAGAAAATGCATATATATTTGTGGCCTTCAGTATGTTTCGTTATTCAAACAAGTAATTAAGGAGTTCTGAAGACCACATATGTTTAAATAAACATTTTTGATCTAGTATTTTGAGTCCTAATTCAGAACCACTAATGTGCATTTTCGAGTATTGCAACTTATTTCATTGTTTTGTTTTAAATTGATCTCGTTTTTAAGTGTTCACACTTCAACTTTTAAATAACTGGAGCAATAGAGGCCAGGTTGCATTTCTGTATGTACCTTTTGACATTCACGAAAACTGTAAGTTGCTTCATAATGTCTTTTAACCTGCCCAGTAATATTGTAATAATGTTTTATTTGTGATCTGAGCCTTTTTAGCACTTCTTTGGCATACTGCTGATCATCTCCCTTTTCTGCCTTTATGTGGTAATTCTAAATTTACCATTCCCTTCACGTTTTCTGTTCTCTCAAGACCCTATCCCCCATACTAAAGAGATGACATTGCCTTTTTAATTCACAGAGAAGGGCTGGGCGCAGTGGCTCACGCCTGTAATCCCAGCACTTTGGGAGGCCAATGCGGGCGGATCACGAGGTCAGGAGATTGAGACCATCCTGGCGAACACAGTGAAACCCCATCTTTACTAAAAATACAAAAAATTAAATGGGCGTGGTGGCACACGCCTGTAATCCCAGCTACTCAGGAGTCTGAGGCAGGGGAATTGCTTGAACCTGAGAGGGGAAGGTTGCAGTGAGCTGAGACCATGCCACTGCACTACAGCCTGAGCGACAGAGCAAGACTCAGTCTCAAAAAAAAAAAAAAAAAAAAAAAAAAAAATTACAGAGAAAATAAATGCCATGTAATATGAACAGCCCTAACATCCTCTTCCATAGTCTCATTGGTCTGTTCCTTTACATGTCCTTTTGGCTTTGTTCTGTCTTAGAGAAAGGACTTTTTTTCCTTGTGTGTAAGATTAACCTTTCTGCTTTTCCCTTTATCCCATATCTTGTATTCTTTGAGGTCTTGCACCATCAGGTAGTGTTTCTTGGGTATGTCTAATTTCTTGGTGTCTTCAGGTTCCTCTCCCTTGCCTGTAACAGTGCTCGGATCTCTTCCACTTTAGAGTCACTTTTCTTTCATAGGGCTTCAAATGAACTTGGAGTTGCTGTTCTCACTTTCCTTCTTTTGTTCAGTCCTTCATTGTCTTCTGGATTTCTGTTATATTCTAATGAAAGTAATGTTCCTGAAGTCATTCAGTAGTAACAATCATGATAGTATTCATATAAGAATAGTTAATATTTAAGCCCCGTTTGTATGCGCAGTACTATTCTTAGTAGCTTATATGGATTATCTCATTTAATTCTCACAACAACCCTATGAGGTAGGAAACTGTATGAGGCGGAATATTGTGAGATTAAGAGCTTTGAATACCTAGTTGCCTGGGTTTGAATCCTACTTATACTGCTTAACTAGCTCTGGGATCTTAGGTAATATTTGACGTTGTTTATACTTCCGTTATCTATAAGTTGGAAATAATACCTACCTACTGACCTCAAAGGGAAACTGAAACATAAAGAGGTTAAGTAACCTACAGATTTGCACAATTTAGATTATAACTCAGACAGCTCTGTTAACCACTTTCCCTCTATTCCATGCTGTTGGTAACCACATTGATAATAGCAGTTTAGTGGCTAAGTAATTTTCAGTTTTTCTGACCTTCCTGTATCAGTTGATGGTATTTCCCTTAGCATGCCTGTAGTCCCAGTTACTCGGGAGACTGAGGCAGGAGAATCGCTTGAACCCGGGAGGCAGAGGTTGCAGTGAGCCAGTATCGCGCCGCTGCACTCCACCTGGTGACAAAGCTGGACTCCGTCTCAAAAAAAAAAAAAAACAAAAAACCAAAAAAAAACCCAACTCTGTTTTCTGAATGTTTCCGCTTTACTAGGAACTTGTACCACTGGTGACAACTAAGATTTATTTCATTGTTTTCCTATTTGTGCCCACTTCCTAAATACTGTGTTTTGAGGTTTGATGCTTCCTTCCGTTCCCTCTTCTTTTTCCTTTAGGACTAGAATTTTAGGTTATAATTTCTAAAATCTCTAGGCTAGACCACTCTTTAAATTTCCAGATTCTTGATTTCAACTTCTTCAGTGTCCTATAGGTACCTTAAACTCAATTTATGTGAATACTTCACCTCTGATTAATATATATATATATATTTTTGTCTCCTAATGTGGCTGAAGTTCTAGTTATAGGAGTGGGAAAAATATTGGTTCCCCATTTTCTGTTCACTTGTGCTTACGTTAATACTTCTGCAGTTTATTTCTGTGCAATAATCTTTTAAAGTGGTTATTTTGTGAAGGTTAGATTACGTTTAAACTAGATACTAACTATCCTTGAATCCATTTGCCTAAACTGCAGTACCTTGTGATACACAAAGAGAATTGGAGAGTATGAGAAATAACTGTCTCTCTTTCTACATTGTGGAGACCATTGTTATGGTATGGGAGACATGAAAGCTGACATACAGAGTGAGGAAGCCAGTGTCAGTTTATACATTGAATATTGGTAAATATTTCTTCTTTGTTTAGGTTAAAAACGAATGTAAATAGAATTTTTTACATGTTTTCCTGTGTCCTAGTGGGTTGTTTTATATACTGTCTGGGAAATGCATAATCAACTTTCAATGTCAGTAGTCTATAGGATAAAGGTTAAAACTGCTCACTATGGCATACAAGTCCCTGTACAGTTTTATTTTTGTTTCTGGCTACTTTTCACTTCTGTGGCCATTCCTCTTCTCATACCATATCTTGCAGCTTCATTTGGTTATAGTATTCATACCTCCTTTGTTTACATTGTTTTGTTAGTCTGAAATGTTTTTTTTACCTCTTCATGCAAAATTTTTCCTGTCTTTCATGAACCAGCATACATATTACCTTTTTTGGGGAGTTTTCCTGAGAATGTAGTGTAGTACGGTGGAATAAATAACATAGGGTGTAGTCTTTGACTAATGGAGATGTCTGTCTGAATTTTAATTTTGGCTTACTTCCTGAAAGCTCTCTTGCTTTGGGCAAACTACTTTGCTGTGCTTCATTTCCTTATCTGCAAAATTGGTATAATAATACTATCAATTTTATGAGTTATTAGGAAGATTATTTTAATGAGATTTATGTGTGAAGTACCTGGCCATAGTGAGTTCTTTATAAACGACATCCCCTGTAATTAACTGTAAGATGCAATTTGTAAAATATTTTCATTTTATCATCAAGATAGAGATATATATTTAAAGCAATTCTTATGTCATCTACACAAAGCTGTAAGTAAATAGAGAGTGCAATTGAGGAAATATCGTGGTGGTTGCCTTTTTTGTGCTCTTACTATTTGTACATACCTGTCTTAGTATTTTATTTATATAGGTACTATTTTGTATCTTACTGTGTTAGACTGTTTTTGCAGTTGCTGTAAAGAAATGCCTAAGACTGAGTAATTTATTAAAAAAAGACATTTAATAGGCTCATGGTTCTGCAGGCAATACAAGGATAGCATTGGCATCTGTTAGGTCTTCTGGGGAGGCCTCAGGGAGCTTTTACTTTTACAGGGGCAAAATGAAGTGGGAGCAGGCACTTCACATGGCAAGAACAGTAGCAAGAGAGGGTTGGTGGGAGGTACCACACACTTTTAAACAACCAGATCTTACGAAAACTCACTATTTGAGGCTAGCACCAGGCCATGAGGGATCTGCTCCCATGACCCAGTCACCTCCCACTAGGCACCATGTCCCACATTGGGGATTACATTTCAACGTAAGATTTCAGGGGATATATATCCAAACCATATCGTGTATCCAGCATATCACCTGGCCCGTAGTAAACTATAGATGTTGATTGAAAGTGTAAATGAGTTTACTTATTTCTTGGACTACATTTCAACGTAAGATTTCAGGGGCCATATATCCAAACCATATCGCTTATCCAGCATATCTCCTGGCCCATAGTAAACTATAGATGTTGATTGAAAGTGTAAATGAGTTTACTTATTTCTTGGACTACATTTCAACGTAAGATTGCAGGGGCCATATATCCAAACCATATCGCTTATCCAGCATATCTCCTGGCCCATAGTAAACTATAGATGTTGATTGAAAGTGTAAATGAGTTTACTTATTTCTTGGACTATCACAAGAGAGTCTTCATCAGGTTGTGATTTTTTTTCTCCCCTGGTAATACGAAATTTAACATTTTTAACATTTAAATACGGAGTCACTGGATTTGCATTGTGTTGTTCTTCAGGACTGTATCAACTCTTTTGTTAGCTTAACTTGGTTAATACTTAAAGTATAAACATAATTCCCTTGTTTAAACATTAAATACAAATGGAGATTCTGCTTTTATTTTGCAAGAACGTTTACTGAAGATGACCTTAGAAGAGAGACGCAAAGAATACCTAAGAGACTATGTTCCCCTGAACAGCATTCTGTCATGGAAGGAGGAGATGAAGGGCAAGGGCCAAAATGATGGTAAGTTTCTTGGAACATTTTTTAGGTAGATATTGTTCCCATTTGTTTATGACTCCTGCAGGACAATTGTTGAGAGAAATGAATAACTGGCATTCAATAAAGTGATTAGTATTTTGGTATTTGAAATTATTGTTTGGCTATGATTTTATTGTTTTTAGTAACCTATGGTGTTTTTTAAGCTTAGGAAAGTATATTAACATAATTTGTGTTCTGAAATATACCACATTTATAATATGGTACTTCTTTTACAGGTCCTTTGTTTTTCTATTCTATAACAGTTCTTGGAGCAAATGCTATTAGAGATTTGCTGCTTTGGTGGTGTGGCCCTTTGAGTTTGCTTTAAGTTCATTTACAATGGATTTTCTAATGTTATTTTAAGGATTGGGGATACAGTTGAAAGAGAGTATATTAGGAAAAATAGAAAAACCAAAGAACATTTCTTATTATTTTAGAGAATATATTTTGTATGGTGTATTATTATGTTTATATATAAAGTATTTGTATGACAGAATTTACTCTCAAAGTCTTTATGATTTGGTGAGAATCTAGATTATGTTAGAATATAAAGGAAGTTTTAAGGATTAAAAAGGTACATGAAAAAGTTTCTAAAAACAACATAATAGATTTAATGGATGTTTAATATGCTTATCCTTGAATTAACACTCATTGGTATTAATGATCTGGATGTAAAGTTCAGACAAACGGTGCTTCTTAAGGTACTTAACAGTTGAGAAAGATTTTATGAAAGAAATGAACTTGAAACATGCTAATTTCACAGGTTGTGGTCTTAGATCGATGGAACTACACAGGGTACTATGGGTCCAGAAAATAAAGACTAGCGTGGAATTCGTATGGATAAAATCTTAAGGGAAAGATTAGGCCTTGGTGTCTGTGAAGAGAACACATTGACCTGAGGATTTGGGTTTTAGACACAACTTTGTTTTTCTAGAAAGGCAAAGCATGTGGGATTGGGAGTGAAAAGCTGTGGGTTCTTTTAGACCTTACATAGCCTGGAAACGTGTGACCTTGGGCAAGCAGGGTAGCAGCCCTACCCCAGGTTCTCATGGGGTCGTTGGACAAGCTGATTGGGATATGCACATCTGACTGTCTGCCCAGTGTCTTCAGTAAATGCAAGTTGTTTTAAGAATGGTCTGATTCCAAACTGGTAAGATTTGCCTTAAGAAGCCCCTGCCTGACCACGTGAGCATCATGGAACCCAAAGATGAAATGCTGCCCACCACCCCCATCTCAGAAGGGTGGGAAACCAGAGCCACCTGCATTGCCCCAGCCAGTCCCCACAGTGTAACAGGGTCTCCTTGGCAGCTGTATTCTAGAGTCTGGTTGTTGCTCTGTAAAGACCTTTAATAAAATCTTGTACAAAGGTTTAAAAAAAAAAAAAAAGAATGGTCTGATTAAGACATCAGTGAAAGAGAAAAGAAAGCGCTGTATAATGAAAAGAATACAGGGCTAGAAATCAGGGGAACAGAATTCTGGTCCCTTATCTTACCTAAGGCTATGTGCCTCTTCATGTTTGGGTCTCAGTAATTTCTTTTTTTTGTTCATAAGCAACTGGTATTGAGTATTTCAGCAGCAGCAGCAGCTTTTTTTTTTTTTAAATGGCTACAGTTTGAGTATCCCTTATGCAAAATGCATGGTACCAGAAGTGTTTGGGGTTTGGGATTGTTTGGATTATACTTGCTGGTTCAGCATTCCTAATCCAAAATCCAAAATGTTCCAGTGAGCATTTCCTTTGAGCATTATGTTGGTGCTCAAAAAGTTTCAGATTTTGGAGCATTTTGGATTTTGAATTTTTGTATTAGGACTACTCAGCCTGTACTAAATGTTCCCCAAATCAGAAAATAATACATTGGATAAAATGACACCTAACATAGTTATCCTCTAACAAGACACTGTATGTGTAATCCTGCCTCCCAATATGAGCTTTATAAGTGGTTTACAACTGCTCTGTGTGTTTCTTATTTTCCCCCTTACGCTGTTTTAAACTTGAAAGTCCTCCATGGGGAACAAGGTGATGTGATCAAAATTATATTTCTATTTTTCCTGAAATGTTACTTGCTCCTCTCTGTTGTGACCTAGAAACTGGTGACTGGCCTCTTCCTTTTTCATGAAGTGGAATGGCTCATTTTACAAGTAATATTTGTAAATATTTCTATACAATACACATTTTTTTTTTTTTTTTTGAGACGGAGTCTCGCTGTGTCGCCCAGGCTGGAGTGCAGTGGCCAGATCTCAGCTCACTGCAAGCTCTGCCTCCCGGGTTTTTACGCCATTCTCCTGCCTCAGCCTCCCGAGTAGCCGGGACTACAGGCGCCCGCCACCTCGCCCGGCTAGTTTTTTGTATTTTTTAGTAGAGACGGGGTTTCACCGTGTTAGCCAGGATGGTCTCGAACTCCTGACCTCGTGATCCGCCCGTCTCGGCCTCCCAAAGTGCTGGGATTACAGGCTTGAGCCACCGCGCCCGGCCTACAATACACATTTTTAATATGACTTTTTCTTGTGTTACCTATTCAGTACGCAGGTATTAGAAAATATTAGTCAAGAGAGTTTTAGTGTTTTAACAGTTTAAAAGATCCTTTAAAAATATAAATTTACAAAAAATAATAAAAGACAACTATACATATGGTTATACTTGAAAAGTTTAAGTCATTGCTTATACACATATGTGTATAGGTATTGATATTTATATTAAATACGGGATTTTAAACTAAGTTTTAAAAGAAGTCTATAAATCCTTGTCACTTAGTTTCTAATTGTAGGAAATGAACAATATTTATTGGGCTAGGACAGTATATCAGTTTTTAATTTAGTAGCTTATCATTACTTACGTTTTTATAGAGGGCCATTTTTGCCTGAATATTCCTGAGTACTTGAATAGTTCTTGAGCTATTGCTTTTAATTTTTTTCTTGCTTTGTTCAGATTTATTTTACTTTAACCAAATGCTGCTTGTTATTATAGCATAGTAGAAAGTTAAATAAAAAAGAGGGGAGGGGCCAAATGTATTTGTAACAATGTGGGTTTTAAGCCTTCTTAAAAGGTAACAAAATATTGCCAAGGAACACAAAATCAGTGTTTGTATGGAAAGGTGGAAGCGAGTAGATAGTATTTTTACTTTGACTTGCCCCTTTGGTAATATTGGAAAGCCATGAATTAGAAGAGGAAAGAATGGGAGATGATTACCAAAAAATAAAAAAATAAAAAAAACCCAGAAACAAAAACCCCACCCAGAAAAACCCATTAAATACATAATTTGCTTGCTGTTTATGTTTGTATTTGTTAAACTGTTGTTAGCTAATCTCTAGACTTACATATTTCTGATTACTTCTTCCTCTGTATTACCAATTATGTCAGTTGCTATATTGCAGGGATTTTAAAAGTCTTGCCTCTCCTATTGTACTATGTCTCTAGCACCTGCAATGGTGCCTTCTGGGTTGGTGGGGCTCAATCAGTAAGTTAAATATTGCCTCAGGAGTTAATAGCCTACCAGGGACAATTCTTTCTCCAAACTTTTTTTTTGAAACTGAGTCTCACTTGTCCTCTGGGCTGGAGTGCAGTGGTGCGATGTGGGCTCACTGCAGCCTCCACTTCCTGGCTTCAAGCGATTCTCCTGCTGAGCTCCTGAGTAGCTGGGATTATAGGTGCGCACCACCACGCCTGACTAATTTTTGTAGTTTTTGTGAAGATGGGCTTTTACTCTGTTGGCCAGGCTGGTCTTGAACTCCTCATCTCTAGTGATCTGCCCATGTTGGCCTCCTAAAGTGCTGGGATTACAGCCGTGAGCCACTGCACCTGCCGCTTTTTCCAAACTTTTAATGAGCACTTATAAATATATGTAAAACTAGAATACAGTCATGTGCCACAAAATGATGTTTTGGTCATTGACAGACTGCATATATGATGGTGGTCCCATAAGATTATAATACTGTATTTTTACTATGCCTTTTCTGTGTTTACATAGGTTTAAATACACAATGACTTACCATTGTGTTATAGTTGCCTACAGTATTCTGGACAGTAACATGCTGTATGGGTTTTAGCCTAGGAGCAATTGGCTGTACCATATAATCTAGGTGTGTAGTAGACTGTATACCATCTAGATTTTTGTAAGTACACCTTATGATGTTTGCACAGCAATGAAATCACCTAATGCCTTTCTCAGAACGTATTCCCATTGTTAAGCAATGCCTGGCTGTAGCAATGCATCCATTACCCAGTTTCCACAGTTATTATATGGCCAGTTTTATTTCATCTATACCAGTGCTCCCTATACCTTCCCCCCAGGCTATTTTGAATGAAATCACATGTCATATCAATTTTATCTGTAAATGATTATCTGTATGTATGCATATGTATGTATCTCTAAAAGATGGGAGCATATTTTTGTTTTTTTACTAAAATACTAGTATTACCTCTCAAATTTAAAATTTAACTTAAAATTTAATTTTTGATATAATTGAATATCCATTTAGTATTCATGTTTTTCCCATTGTCTCATAAAGGATTTTTTTTTTTTTTTACAATTGATTTGCTTGAATCTAGATCTAATCACGGTCCATATATTGCATTTGATTGATATGTTCCTTAAGTAACTTTTAATCTATAGTTACCTCTCTCTGTCCTTTTTTCCTTCTTCCCTTATAATTTATTTATTGAATACACTAGGCTGTCCTGCAGAATTTTTTATATTTTGAATTTTGATTACTGTATCACTCTGGTATCATTGAACATGTTCCTCTATCCCCTTTATTTCTTACGAGTTGGTACTTAAATCCAGAGGTTTGTTCAGAGTTGGGTTTAAATTTTTTTGAAAGAATACTTTATTGTGCATCTTTTTGCATCGTATTACAAGGCACATAATGCATCATTGTCTCTCTCAGTAGTGATAAGATTGATCCCTGGATTCATGTATTGTCAGCTAAATATTGTCACTAAACTGTCTGGTGTAAATTTCTCTGACAATCTTTTACCTAATGGTTTTAGC